TCAATAGGCTGGACAAAAGTATTACCCCCAGAAACACCCTAGTAGATGGGGTGGGAGTAATAAAAGGAGAATCTACATCGAAACCCCAAATTCGTGAACCGTAGTCAACATAATCAAAGAAGTAGAAATAGGTTGCTTAATCCCCCTTTGATATCACTCTGACTATTGAACGTCGTCATCGGGAATCACAACAACGTCACTGACCCCCACGAGGGCAGGATCCAACATCCTTTTTAGGCCTCTCCTATTTTGCACATGTCAACCAATGTTACCCTTTCTCATGTTAGAGGAAATATCAGCAACACTCAGGATAACCTTCAGCTTCACCAAATCCTAGTGAACGTTTGAGAAGATGCCCTCCTTGCTATCCTCCACTACCTTGGATGAACCATTGATCGAAGCCCTAGATGGACTCGATGAAGATGTCTAACTGGGTGACTGTATCAACGACACAACACTAGAAGCCGACGAGTCCTCCACTTTCATTTCCTATAACTTGGCGGGAAGTGTGAGACAATCAATCCTACATGATGGTGGAAGTACCTCGTGCAAATCAACCTCACAAAACTCCAGCTTCCCCCTAAAAAAAATTTTAAACGAAAAAAAGTGGTGGGTTTTTTTGTAAAGGGTGTATTTTTTGGTATAATCCGGTGTGTGTGCGTCTAATGTAAAAGTGTACATCTATTTCCTTGGCCGTTGATCGTTATGAATTCTGACGCTTACGATTGGTTCCTTGGTTCATTGGTTAATTATGGTTCTCTATTGAACCTCACCTATATATATATATATATATATATATATATATATATATATATATATATATATATATATATATATATATATATATATATACCAATAAAGAAAATATTATATTTTAACAAATGTCACCATCTTCTTAAAATAAATGAACTCAAAACTGTTTATAGGAGCTACGGTCGAACTGTTTATCTTTTAAAATAGAAAAACAAAATTCCACTTTATACGGAAATAATAATTTACTTGAACTTCATATATCAAAAGAACCCTAAGCTTGATACTAATAAGATGAATAAAAACCATGGGCCAGAATAGTATGTGATATATCATTGTGACGCCTTAACCAGGGTTCATGTTCGAAACGATCCACTTATAAATCACCCCCCCCCCCCTCTCTGTAAATTAAGAAAACTCAAAACTCATGATTACAAAAATAACAGGGGAATTTAAATATACTCTTATGATAAGTTCTTATTTGGGACCGTCACATGTGGTGGCCTAATAATGCAATGTCTCTTTGCACACTCATTAACACACCCATGTGAATATGATTGTTCATCAAGAAAAGGATCCTCATTTTTGAATTCTCAATCATGAAATCAATGCTACAATACATTGAAAATAACATAGAATACTCGTGTTGATAATTAGTGTTTTCCACATGATTGTTAACTTTTATAGTTTTCCATTATATATATATATATATATATATATATATATATATATATATATATATATATATATATATATATATATATATATATAGGCGTGATCAATGACGAACTCGATTGAAGGAGTGAACCATCGAACTGTCCATCATTGTTCTAGTCGAACCAAATTTCGATCATTGTTGAAATCATACCAAATTTCGATTCCAAGTCTGAATTGCTTTCATTGCATTCGCTATCATGAATGTGGTTTCTCGAGCGGTTCCTGGAGCTCAACATATCATAAAACCATAATTATCTCAGATTTTAAAGAATTCGAAGAACAGCCGGTTCGAAATCAACCTAGTATGTATGTGGATATGAAGCTATTGCATGATCTATAGCAATATAAAAAGATTGAGCACTTCAGATGAAAAATATTAAATTAAAGAAAAGCCATAGCCTTAAAAAAATCCTATGCATTTGATTGATGCATTGTTTATATTTCCTATTTGTTTTATAGAAACCTAATTACTAAATCATTGTTCAATTACAGAGATTGAAAATTTATTAATTTGAAGTAACTTTAAAAAAATATGATGCATTTGATTGATACATTAACACTTTTTCTTCATATTTATGCATATGTTACTTTTATTGGTGAAATTGATGTACTAGCTACAAGCTATTCATGTTCTTATTGTCACAAGATTCGGTAGATTATTATTTTCTTTTTGTAATAATCAGGAGTCAAAGAATATTTAGTGACAAAACAAATGATCTTTACAATGCTACTACAAAAGAAAGAGAAACTACATTGAATCAATTATTCTTTTGACTGCTACAAATCGTAAGGACTTGTTAGATGCTGCAGTTTTGAGGCCTGGAAATACTGAATTGAAACTGCATCAATAACATAACATCACTGGTGGTGCTAAGTAACCAATTGTGTTGGAAGGAAAGTTGCCAAAATCACAACATATGTTGTAATTGTTAGAGGAGTGCCAACTAGCAATTTAAAAAGTTGAATAATATGTGTTGCAACTTTGCAGATTGCAAATGAAACTTCAAATGTAGTAGTTGTTTGTATTGTGGCCACATTGCCTTCCAAATTAACTGTCTGATATGCCATTTGACATAAGTTAGATGTGCATAAATAGACATTCAAATAAAGGGATGCGGGAAATTTTTAAAAAAGCAAGGTTATTTATAGTATATTCACATCTGGTTGGTGATAAAATCTCTAAAGAGCGTTTAGAGCCTAATGCAAACAACACCATGAAATAAATCGCACATATAACCTGCTGTAACATAAGATGGAGAAACACCAAGTGCATCTGAAACTACAATATATGAAATTTATATACACATATGAATGCATATATACATATGAAATGTATGTGCATGTGCACATACATATGAATACATATGCATATATATGTGTGCATACGTATGAAATGTGTATGTAAGTTCATGTACATATATGTATGAAATATTTGTGTATATGACATATTTATACATATTAATATGCATATGCATATATATGTATGCATGTGCATACGATACATATGCATACATGCAACAAATGTATACAAATGTATATGATGTAATTAGTATGCATATATACATATAAATGTATACATATACATATGCGTATGATTTATATTATATGCATATGCATATTAATATGCATATATGCATATAAATGTATACGTATACATATGATGTATATTAATATGCATATATGCATATAAATGTAAACATATGCATATATTAATAGGTCTATATGCATACAAATGTATACATATGCATATGATGCATATGAATATTAATATGCAGATATGCATATAAATGTATGCATATGTATATGATGTATATGCATATAAATCTATACATAAGAATATATATATATATATATATATATATATATATATATATATATATATATATATATATAATCATCCGAGTTATACTTAAACAATTATCTTAGGATATGTGACACTAAATTTGCAAGTAATTTTGTTAAATTAATGATGCAATAATTCTAAAAACTACTTTTCGATCATTTAAAATGATATAAAAGAAGATGAATTTCATCAGAAACTGATACCACATATCATATACCTGAGCGGGGTCAAAATTCAAATGAATGAGTTTCTTTTTCTATAGTTGTAGCTGCCAACTATGCTTTTGTTAACAGTTCCTCGTGTCTACCTTCAAATTCATCTACTAATCTACTAACAACAAAGTCGTCGTCTCCTTGAATGTGAGCATATACATAATCAAGATCGATCCCTCATATAAAACAACAAAAAAAGAGGAATAAGCTATCATAATATTTTACTGTGCATTTGATGTTATGAAACCATGTGAAAAAACATATGCATCAATCCAATGCATATGTACAATGAAGCAATGACATCTGATAAGCTCAGCGTTCCAATTTAACCATGATTCTTTATTAATCTCGTAGTATAACTACAATTACATATAACAAAATCTAATTAAGAATCCATCCTTACTATAATTACATATAACAATCTATGTTTTTTTTTCAAATAAATTTTAAAAAAATCTTATGCATTTGATTGATGCACTGCCTTTTTTTTTCCTATTTGTTTCATAGAAACATGATTGAAATTTTGAAGCTCTATTTTTTCTTTAATTGACATTGAGTAAATATATTATCTATCAAATGATTAAGAGAGGTGATTTACAGATAATGCGAGAGGACACAGAACGAGAGAAGGAGGTGTTAATTAGACCAACAATGTGAAATATGGCGGCGACAACTACAGATTTAGAGGATGAATCTACAAACTTCCAAATCAGTCAAGTAGTGGTTGTCAAATCCTCGATTGTAGCAACTGATGTAAGAAACCGGTGACCTTGTTGCATTAATACAATGTAATTGGAAGATAAATTGAATTTGAGGGTTGTTATTAAGTTCTTTAGTTTGTTCTCGTAATTTGAGTATAATTTGAGTTTGCTATTGAACTTGATTATATATATATATATATATATATATATATATATATATATATATATATATATATATATATATATATAGAACTAGGTTCAAATGTGGATTAATAATTATTGTGTGGATGTAAGGCTCCTTTGTGGTCCAAGCATTTTAAAAACCTAAATAAGGGTGAATTATAATCTTACCTTTAATTTAGCAAAATTAATGGAAATCAGTTTACATCTATAACTATTTATTCTTTTGTAAACCCTCATCCCTCTTAAATGTTTTTTACGTCTTCTCCATTTCCTTCTCTAAAATCACCGGCGATATCCGCTCTCACCTATCTAATGAATATCATCCACCCATGCCTCATCAATTTCGCCACTACTCTCCGCCTTATCTCCCTCATTCACCTCTAATTCTAGGGATTCTACAATTCCCGTGAGTTTTCTCAGCTGCAACGACCTAAGGCAAACAAAGTGAGAAATCAAGTCGACCCAGCCACCATTAACAATGGAGAAAACGCCTACATTGGATGGTTCCATTGTAGATGAATCAGGGATAGATTATGTGTGCTATTCCACCAGGCATCACTTGCCCCTTATTATGTGCCTCGTAGATGAAGAACTATGCGAACCCTATCCCATCTTCAGAGATGGTTACTTCGTTTATCTCTGGCCCAATCTCTCATTCCTCATACTCTCAATCTACCATTTTCTATAATGTCAATTGATTTTCGTATTCGTCATCAAATAAAAAAAAAGTATTTGATCTACTTCTGTAAATCTGTAGGAGTTCCATAAGGGGAAATGCATTTGAACCGTGGTTTTCTAAAATGGGAGAACACCATAATACTTTCAGAGGCTACATTATTATGTTCGTTGTCCTGAAACCTTATCGTCACAGAGGAATTGGTAAAAAAGTTTCATTATCTTTCTTACTTGTAGATCTGAGTTTCTTTTTCTTGAAGTAGTTTATAACCCATATCAATTTCAACATTAAATGTCCAAATCTACATAAAGGGTAGTCAAAATTTATACTTCAATTTGTATATCCAGTTTCAAAAAAGATCATATGATTCCTTTTAGCAAACTGAATATTAGAGATGGTGTATTGTTTTATTAACAGTTAGAGTTGTTTTATAGCTACAGAACTTGTTACTACATCCTTAAAAGTGATAATGGAATTAGGTTGGGAATAGGTATTATGTTATTAATGAGTTCTAATAAGTTTCAGTATGTTCTTTTTTATGTGCTATTTATGATTTGTAACATGCCTTGAATCTTGATACATATGCTGATATGATTAGATGCAAAGATACAATGTTATGCAACATGATCAAATATCATGATGCCATCATTTTGAGATATATAATCTCTATTAAAGAAATAAGGGCTCAAAGCAACAAATAACAACTACTTTCATTGATTTAGGAATTTTTTTTCTTGTATAATTGATGTTTCGAATGGAATACATCATTATTCTTTTTTTTTTTTTTATCAAATATGTTTCTCACTATATGCCTCTTATTCTTTTTTACTTATCATTTTTACTGATCAATCAGGAATAGCAGAAAAGGGGATAAAAGTTTGTTATTCTCACGCCAATCATTCTGACAGAATTTGATATCATGGAAGTTATTCTAAAAGAATTTATGATCGCGGGCTTGAGGGTAATAAAGAAAAATGGTGCATGAAGGGGAATATGATGATCAATGGCCTAAAGGTTGGATGATGAATATCAGAAAAGGGGATAAAAATTTGTTATTCTCATGCCAGTCATTCTGACAGAATTCGATATCATGGGAGTTTATTCGAAAAGAATTTTTGATCGCAGGCATGAAGCTAATAAAGAAAAATGGTGCATGAAGGGGAATATGATGATCAATGGCCTAAAGGTTTGATAATGGTGCGTGGGATGAAGATAAAGAATGGTCATTGATCTTTCTAAAAGAAAACAATGTTCATTGTCATATTGTTATCAAAATGTATCATCAACATATATTCTTTTAAACTGGACCAAAATTAATCTTTTAGAATGCATTATCAACATATTGTTATTTTTGTTTATGTATTTTACTTCGATAATGTTTTTTTTGGTATCTAATTCTTCAAGAATGCAAAATAAAAATTGTTCTTTCTAAGATTTTTCAATCTCATAGAATATCATTCTAACATAATCAAATCGTTTATGATTAAAAAATTATGTTAGAATTGAATTAACTAAAAATAAATAATATTTAAAATTAAAAAAAATCTATTATCCCTTAAAATCCGATAATTTCCATTTTTAAATATAATTTAATTTTGCAAAAATGCTTGGACCAGAAAGAAGCCTTACATCCACACAATAGTTACAATCCACATTATAACCTAACCCTATATATATATATATATATATATAGATATATATATATATATATATATATATATATATATACACACACACACATAGTCGTTTATAACCCGTGAGAACCACGGTTATAAAAATAATTAAACTTTCATATTAAAAAATGAAAATAATTATTCAATTATTTTAAATAAATTTTTATTTAAGAGATATTCTTTTACTTATATAAAATTATAATCGTTGATTTACATAAATAGGTGAAGTTATATCACCTTATAATCTATATTAATTTTATTTTATTTTTTAAACTAATGTTATTAATTTAATATAATTAGAGTGATAAAATTTAAAATTTAAAATTTAAAATAAAAAATCAATTATTAATTTAATGTAATTAGAGTGGAAAATTTAAATTTTAAAATTTAAAATGGATAATTAATAGGTTCACAAGTGGCAAGATAGATAATTTATAATATTAATGAGGAGTTCTAATAATATGACACTTGTCAATAAAAGAATAAACCTATTGTTTTATTAGAATAAGATGATATATATATATATATATATATATATATATATATATATATATATATATATATATATATATATATATATATATATATATATATGAAGTAAGTTCAAATAAAAACAGTAAATAGTGTGAGAACGTAAAAACACTATGTTTATGTTATTATTCTGTAATGAATTTTGTATATGTGTATTGTTGAACTAATTCTAGTATAAATATTAACTTTCGATTAGTCATATATTTATTACAATGTTATTATTCTATTATAAACTTATATATGTGCATTTTTGTAGTAAATTCTAATTTTAATTTTAACCTTTGACTATTCATTTATTCTTTGCTGAATAATGATATAAAGTTGTCGATACAAAATTCATTGCAGAATAATAACATAAAAAAGTGTTTTTACGTTCTCACACTATTTACTGTTTTTATTTGAACTGTCCATATATATATATATATATATATATATATATATATATATATATATATATATATATATATATATAGCAACGAAAATGTTAAGAATACAAGAACAAATCTAGACTCACCAAATATTAATATCAAAAGCTAATATAAATAATTCCTTTACGTAAATTTTAAAAATTTTAGGATAAATTTGTAATTATTAAATGGACAGTAGTAAAGGAATTTTAGTTCTTATAGTTTCCACGAAATTAACATCCATCCGGCAATTTTTAATTTTCTCTAGTTAAAAAGTAAATTACATGAATGGTCCTTGTGGTTTGAGGCAATTTACGCGTTTGTTCCCTAAATATTTTTTTAAACTCAGACGGTCCCTATTATACATTTTTGTTGCGCGTTTGATCCATGCCACACGTAAAAAAAAAATATTCTGCCTTGTATAGTTTATTTTTTTGTGATTTAATTATATAATTTGTTTATTATACCTAAAAGGACCACCATGACCCATGCCTTAATCCAAAATGCCCATTCCCACTTTCAGTGAAGAGGTGAGGAAAGACACCACTTTTTTTTCTTGGGCATCTTTCCGCCGATTACATTAGTAGAACCACTCTCAACCACCAACAACATCATCAGTCCATCCCAGTCTCTCGTACTCTCATGCCTCCAACAACCTCCATCTATCCCCACCTCCACCTCCACCCTAATCCCCTTTCTCTGCCCTACCTTTTTTTTTCTGTTAGTCTTTTTATGGCCTACGTCGCAACCACCACCCCATTTTATCTCCAACCATTAAAGAAGTTGTTGAACATCAACCAATCATGCATTAATTCATCTATGTCGATTGAGAATGTCTGAGAAGTGGTTTGGTATTTTATAGATAGATTTCTGCAAATCAAAATTTGGTGATGGTGGTTGAAGCAAATTCGGATGAATCAGAAATCAGGTGGATGATTATATGTTTTATAGGTTTGAAAATTTGAGTTATGTGTGTGGGAACTAGGAATCAAAAAGTGGTTGTGTATGAATCAAGAATCAGAACCACAATGGAGCTTCATTTGGTTCAAATCCGTCAGAGAAGACGGAGGAGGCGGTGAGGTGAATCATGTCTAAATCATACAACTTACAATAAAATGCACTTTGGAATTTTATCGATTGCTCACCGAGGTTCAAGGTGAATTAGGTTTGATTTTGTAATTTTTCTTGTTTGATTTTTTCTTTAGCTCACCGGGGAAGATGAAGGACACAATGAGGGGCTGGAAGCTGTTGGTCGGAGATAATAGAACGGGGAAGGGGTGGAGATCATCGGTGTGATAATGTGGTTGTACATTTCCTTTAAATGGTACTTTAATTAACTATTATTAATTTTTTGTTTAAATAATTAATAAATTAGAAAATAAATAACAAATTAATTAAGAATGAAATAGTTGGGGCACAATAGGTTTTTTTTTCTCGTATAGCACCGACCAAATGCACAACAAAGATGTATAATAAGGACCTTCCGAGTTAAACAAAAAGAATTAAGGACCAAACACGTAAATTATCCCAAATCACAGAGACCATCCATGTAATTTACTCCTAGTTAAATCACCAAGATCACCACCGTAAGCCATTATCCACCATCATCATGACAACTCTACACCATATGACCATCGTGAACCCTTACTTACTATAATCTCTACAACTATACACCACTACCATCTCATCCTTCGCATCAGTCTAAACGTTTCAAATCCTTCGACTAGTAAAAACACTAATGCACCATCACTACAACCCAACCACCATAATACATACCTTTTTTCATTGTTTATATAGTCCACACAATCGAAATAATCAAAGGAATAATATGCTTCACAGGCAGCCACACACCACTACCAATTTGGAGAGATAGATTCGAGAACGTGTACAAAAGAGAAATCGAGAATGGAACAATAGAAAAATCAATCGATTCTCTAGTGAAACTTGCGGTACAAAGGTACGATCGAATCTGGAACTCTTTGTAACCTATTTTCCTTGATGTATAATCGATTGTTTTCACATTTATTGAAGAAAAGTTGTGAGTTTGGATATGATTTTGTTCAAATTAGGTTACTTATTGCTTGAAATACATACTCTCAGTTGCTATTTCTTTCATACTTAGCGGTACAATGCTTAAAACCCAGAAGATTAGAAGATAATATATTTCTATCATATGAAGGGACATATTGATGGAAAATCATTGGTAGTTTTTTCAACTATTTCCTATTGTTGTTCGCAAGAAAAGCTACAGGATCGCCAAACAATGGTTGAAGTTGTAAAAGAACTTGAAAAAGCCTTTGAATGTCAAGTAAGTTCCCGCATATTTATTAGGGAAATTTGTTTACAATTAAGTAATTCTCATAATAGTAGGAAGTGGATTTGGATGATTTGCCAATTTGAACTTCTTTTTCTTTAATTTTTTAATGATTTGACTTCTCACCATTACACACAGGAATTATGGGAATGGGAACAAAAGCTACCTAGTGTTAGATAATTAGGGAATCAAAATAACAATATGTATTACTTGGATAGATTCAAGGATCATGTTTTGAACACTTTTTGAAATCTTTAATTCGTCCCTTTTTCCTGGGGTACACGAATTCAGAAGTGGGATAATCCAAGAATAAAACTAATTCGAATTACAATCCTAATTTAAATTGAGAAAAATAAAATACCTTTTACTTGATGTGTTATTGAGAGATAGATCAAATCTTAATGAATAGATTTAAGGTATGTCTTTTGTAACCCGTTTTTTGGAACATGAAAAATATTCTTATATAATAGGGAAAAATAGTTAATAGTGGTTACATGCAGATTTGGAGCCAAAATAGATAGTTATTGGACATAACAAACACCTGCATCATCATGATGTCATCAAGTGAGTTTTTGGCGGGAAAATGCACCGCTAGTAACATTCCTCCACCATTTTAGTGTAATCCTTAATCAACTAAAAGCAAACACAAAAACAAACTCATGCATAAATGAAAATATCCCGAAGATTGAATTTTTACATTAATACAATACACATTTAAAGTAATCGAGAATCAGGGTGTCCTAAGGATCGAACCCTTCAACTCCTTTGAGTAAATGTAGATACTATAAACATAAGTTAAACATAATATCTAATGTTTGATACTTGACACTATTATAACCATGTGTCCAATCCATTCATGAGTGGATAAAAGCCTAGCCCAAGCTTTCTGAAGCGGCATCAGTTTACACTCACATATGTAGTTTTTATATTTCATGCACCTGTTAATGCACTTTCTCAAAAGAGCTATTAAGAACTTAATCAACTTACTTTAACTCTACAGGTTATAAGCACATAACTTGGGATGCAGTAATTTAAATGTGCTCCAATCTCCATAAGTAAGCTTTCCACATTGAATTCAACTTCTAACATTGTATTAGAAGAGAATTGGGTATCTCAAACATAGAGATATCAAGTGGGCCTTAAACTGTTGATGCATGGCTGTGATTATCGGCAGCTATGAAGTGTATTGAAGGACCGAAGAATTGTTTGTTGGTTTCGGTAGTATTCTTGTTATGTTGATAAGTTACGAAGAGTTGTGATATTTGATACTGAAGACTTGGAATACTGGAGTGAAGGGTGTTGACTTAAAGGAGATTATGTTTTGTCTTTTGTATGCCGAAGAGTCAGAAAAGTAATGTTCGCCTTTTCTGACATTATGTGTTA